CATTAATCCCATTAATCCCATTAATCCCATTAATCCCATTAATCCCATTAATCCCATTAATCCTATTAATCACCAAGTGCCAAAAAAAATACATTCAACTTTTTCAGACCTTTAACTGCACATGATACCATCGCCCAGCCCTACCCTGGAGCAGTGCAGTTATCCTAACTGGGCTTTCCTCAAAGCAGACAAGAAACCCAAACAGGATCCAGACCCCAGACCCAGACCCAGACCCAGACCCAGACCCAGTTTAGTTAAAGTTTGATGAATTTACCCCTGAAGGCTCCGATGTGCTGAGTGATCCCTCCAGCCTCAGTGGACACGATCTGACTCTTCCTGAGGCTGTCCAGCAGTGTGGTTTTCCCGTGGTCTACATGACCCATGATKGTCACCACCGGAGGCCGACTTACCAGGAGCGATGGGTCTGCTGGAGGCCTGCATGGTCAGAGGTCAGAGGTCAGACTGGACTGAGCGCTTGGATGTTGGTGGCCACAGATCTAGGACTTGGAAGGTCTGGGGTGGGATTAGAACCCTCCAGATCTGGATCAGAACCTTCCAGATCTGGATCAGAACCTTCCAGATCTGGATCAGAACCTTCCAGACCTGGATCAGAACCTTCCAGATCTGGATCAGAACCTTCCAGATCTGGATCAGAACCTTCCAGACCTGGATCAGAACTTTCCAGATCTGGATCAGAACCTTCCAGATCTGGATCAGAACCTTCCAAATCTGGATCAGAACCTTCCAGATCTGGATCAGAACTTTCCAGATCTGGATTAGAATCCTCCAGATCTGGATCAGAACCTTCCAGACCTGGATCAGAACCTTCCCGACCTTGATCAGAACCTGTTACCTGGGATGGGCGTCTCTGTTGGCCCGCTCTCGTTCCTCATGCACTTTGGTCCATTTGAACTTCATTCCTGACAGGGTCAGCACTTTCTCGATCCACTTCTTGTCCAGAACTGAGTATGGACGCAGAGAGTCCAGGTTCACAGAGGTGTTGACCAGCGCCTCCAGGATGTGGTCTTAAGGTGAGCAGAGACCTGGTTCAGCATGCAGTCCCCAGTCATGAGGAACATGGATGGGTTCTGACGGTTCTTACCGAAGTCTTTGTTCATGGCTGCAGCGAGCTCCGCCGCTGTCATCCTGTCTCTGACCTCCACCACCTGTTTGCTCTGTTTCATCTTCTGCTTCCTCTGACCTTTGACCTGCAGCACATTCATGTATGTCATTTTCCTTAAGAACACAACAGGTAACATGTCAGCAGGTGTGGGACACCTGTTCAGGTGTACCTGGACTAAAGTACAGGTTAAACTTAAGAAGCAGGTTGATCTACTCAGATTTCTCCATTTCACCTGTTTCATAGCAAAATTCCTRTTCTGTAGACAGGTGAGCAGAGGGGCGGGGCTTCGGTCAGGACAGCTGCGAAGGGGCGGAGTCAGGAAATGTCTTAGGAGACACAGGTCAGCGCGGACGAGCACACGCGTGCGCAGCATCACTGCAGACATGATAAGCATACCTGCAGGAGACAGGTTCTATCAGAGCCGAATTCACACCAAACATGTGACAAACAAAGAAAAATGTTTTTATTTCTAATCTGTAMACTGACACCCTCAGAAACATCGGGATTCTCACGTTGATATCAGCGGAACCGGGTTCCGAATTGGTTCATCAAACAACCCCGAATACAAACAGAGAAATAGAAAAATGTTTTCTAAACCTTGAAAGTTATTTTTGAGTTTAGGAAACAACAAAAACCATCAGTTTAATCTAAACTTTAACAGAATTTGACGGGAGTTCGCTCGGTTCATTTCTTCTGTCTCGAACTCTGACCGGAAGCAGCTCAGGACGCTGCGCGTGCACCGCACGCTTCCCGCACCTGTTTGTTAAAACTCACCTGAAATAGTTCACCTGTTCAATTCATCCTGGAAAAGCAGTTCGTACCGAGTTTCACCGTGAAATCCCCCTGAACCAGGGAGCCGCCATGACAGTTGGATACAAGTGGGACGGGAAGGTGACAGCGCCTCTTCCGGTCCGGAGGGGAGTGCATCTGCTGCTGTGAACCAGGACAACCAGTTAATCCAAGTTATTGACTTATAACACGCATTATCTGATCTTTTCCTGAAAACCTCCGAGATTAAAAGACACTTTTATTTCTTCTAAACCCACAGGATCCTAAAGCACCTGGAGCAGGTGTTAAACCAGTACTTAAAGGGCTAATATATGTTTCTCAAGCATATATTTAAATACTATACCATACTAAAGTATCTACGTCACCTTTAGTTGTTATTAAAATGCTGTTTTTATGTTTAAATAGAAAATAAACTTATCTCCTCATCACTTCCTCTTTTAAACATCTTGAAATTGGCCTCTGTCTCTTTAAGAACCTCCTTCCGCTTCTGTCCCATCCATTGCAGTGCGGGGGGGGGGGGG